AAGGCATGCGACTGACAGTCCACAGGCATGGTCAGACCCCAAACCAGGCAGGCGACCAATACAGGCGGCCCGGACTAGTAGGTCGACCCTGCCAGATCAAGGGTACCCTCGTGTCCTGTGTTCTGCGACCCATGCTTCCTGCATTCCTGTGCCAATGTGGCCCTCGGAGGGGTCTTGTGTCCTCTCGCGCGTCTTGTCCAGTCCAGCCCGACTGTAGGTGCCGCCACAGAGAGCGCGATGAGCGAAGACACGCGGCCCGGCAGTCAGACATCAACAGCGCGATCGGGCCACCAGTCACCAGACGACCAGGGTCAAGCTCCACTGGAACGGGAGGCAAGGCGGACACGGTGCCCGAGCGCGAGCGCGCGGTTCCTGGCGGCAGACGGCACATTCTAAGGGCGGCGCCGGAGGCGCCGCCAGGGGGGTCCAGCGTGGATCCGAGAAATCCGCTCGGAGTTCCGCGTTGTTATGTTTATAACACTTTTTGTTCCCCTATTCCCCTCTGTGGGGTGCCCCCACTTGTTATGCCTGTTACGTCGCGGTGGTCGGTGGACCCTGAGTGTTGTTGCGTCCTGATAGATGTGTGCATGAGGATGCCCGGGCCTGAGCGTCAACGAACTGAATGTGAGCGCCCCGTGTGCATTGGCTTGAGCATGACAACGTCGAGTGCGAGCGGATCTGAGTGCGAGTGGTCTGGGTACGAGTGCTTTCTGGTCATCCGCAATTCCGAGTATGAATGTGCAAGAGCGGGTCCTAAGTAAGTATGAGTGAGTTTGAGTGCGAGTGGTTCTGAGTGTCAGTGGGTCTCAGCACGAGCAGGTCTGAGCATTGGAGCATAGGAAAGGGAAGGAGGGAGGAGGCGTGAGGAAAATTAGCAAAGTAGAGAAGCTCCACGAATGGAAAAAAAAAAAAACAACATGTTTAGAATGTGGGAACAATAGTCCCATACTTAGAATGTGAGGAATCAGGATTGGTTTGGGCACGATGAGTCTGAGTACGACTGTGCCCGACCATGAGGGGTCTGAGCGTGATCGGGTATGACTGTGAGTGCTTCTCACTGGGTGCGTATGAGTGCGAGTGGATCCGGGAGTGAGTGGTCTGAGTCTGAGTCAGTCTGAGCCTGAGTGGCAGAGAAGGGGGCATGCGAGGTGAGTGAGGCGAAATCGTGACCCTCGTAACACGAATGATTTCCTAGGATATGTATATATATACATATACATATATATATATATATATATATATATATATATCTCAGAGTGAGGGGGCCGAACGGTCATTCACTGTCCCTGGGTGCGTGGCTGAAGTGGAATTCCGCGGTGCGGATTCTCGTTGTTGTTGTTGTTGTTGTTGTTGTTGTTGTTGTTGTTGTTGTTGTTGTTGTTGTTGTTGTTGTTGTTGTTGTTGTTGTTGTTGTTGTTGTTGTTGTTGTTGTTGTTGTTGTTGTTGTTTTGTTGTTGTTGTTGTTGTTGTTGTTGTTGTTGTTGTTGTTGTTGTTGTTGTTGTTGTTGTTGTTGTTGTTGTTGTTGTTGTTGTTGTTGTTGTTGTTGTTGTTGTTGTTGTTGTTGTTGTTGTTGTTGTTGTTGTTGTTGTTGTTGTTGTTGAACATTATTTATTCTAAAGAATAATTATTGTTGGGCCCCCTGGTGCGCGCCCCCCCTGCGCCGCCTAGGCCGCAGCTACATTTTCATCATTTTCGTGAGGAAGCCTCAGAAAAGAGGGTGTGTACAGGATCCGGTTGTTTTGTTGTAATCCGCTTTCCCTTGCAAAAAACAATAGAAAATGACATTTCTTGTTCTAATATAATCAAATTTCAAGAATCCCTTGCAAAAAATAAGGTAAAGTGGACATTCGCGCGCGCAAGACGAAATCCTTCCAAAACCTTAGTGTTCGCAGCGATTTTAACATAAAAACATCAAAAAACCAATGGTTTTTCAACAAAAAAATGTCAAAATCTCATCCCGCGCGCTCTTGCGGATTCGTAGGAAACCCAACACTTTTTAAACATTTCTGTCAAACGGGCTTTTGCGAGCAACTTTTTCGAACTTCTGCGACAACGGTTGCGCACCTGCCAGGGCCATCATCCCTGTCAAATAATACCATGCGGGACACATTCGTTTTTTCTTCGCGCGCGCACGCCGAAATCTCCAAAAACCATTGGGCTTCTTAAGAATTTTAGCACCGCGCATCATAAAATCACACGAATCGCACCGTAGGTCCTCGAAAAACACCTGCACGACTTTTCAAAATTTCTACCCGCGCGCGCTGTCCGAATCCTAAAAAAAACCAATGGTTTTCCAACATTTATGTTACATGAGCTCGCGCGAGCTACTTTCGCACGCTCTTGCAACGGGGTTCGCGCGCCTGCCAGGGGCCACAATCCCTTGCGGTTGCGCCATAGGTTGCGCCCTCGGCCGCCGAGAATAAAACGTCCCCCTATTGGTTGCGCCATAGGTTGCGCCCTCGGCCGCCGAGAATAAAACGTCCCCCTACTGGTTGCGCCATAGGTTGCCCCAGGAGGCCTTCAAGAGGCCCCAAGAGCCCGCCGTGAGGACCCAATAAGCCCCCAAGAGGCCCCAAGATGCTTCCAAGAAGCCCCCCAAAGCCCCTCAAGAGGACCCCAAGCGGCGCCAGGAGGCTTCCCCCCTTCCCCAAGAGGACCCCAAGCGGCCCCGACTGATCACTGGCACATCCGTAGCCATCTCGGATCAAGGTATCGCCTGTGTTCTTGGATGGTCCATGGCTTTGACGGCGAAAGCCCTTGACGAGCAGTATGGCCCGGAGCTGTCGCGGCCTCCCTTGGTGTACTCCACGCCAGTGTAGTAGCCACGGTCGTCCGCAGGCCACGAAGTGAAGTGTCCGAACGTCATAGGGCGGGAAGCTGGGTGTGGGTGGTGGCGAAGAGTCGTGTGGATATTTGGTAGAGCTTGCACTGCCCCCCCACAAAGTGGGGGTATTGGCTGGCGTCGCATGAAAACCCTGGCACTGGTGAGAACACTGAGCGTTCGGGTAAAGTGATTGTTGTTGTTGTTGTTGTTGTTGTTGTTGTTGTTGTTGTCGTCGTCCCACCCGCAACCCGCCCCGCGACCCACCCGCGACCCACCCCGCGACCCGCGACCACCCCGCGACCCACCCGCGACCCACCCCGCGACCCACCCCGCGACCCACCCCGCGACCCACCCCGCGACCCACCCCGCGACCCACCCCGCGACCCGCCCTCGGCCCACCCCGCGACCCACCCGCGACGCACCCGCGACCCACCCGCAACCCACCCGCGACCTACCCCGCGACCCACCCGCGACCCAAACCACGTTCCAGGTACAAACCACAATTTTCGGCGCCTGCGGCGGGCTTTTTTTGCATTCCTTCCAGGTTGAGAGCCCGCGACCCACCCCGTGACCAACTCGCGACCAACCCGCGACCCAAACCACGTTCAGGGTACAAACCACATTTTTCGGCGCCTGCGGCGGGCATCTTTTGCATTCGTTTCAGGTGGAGAGCCCGCGGCCCACCCGCGACCACGTTCAGGGTACAAACCACATTTTTCGGCGCCTGCGGCGGGCATCTTTTGCATTCGTTCCCGGTGGAGAACCCGCGGCCCACCCGCGACCCAAACCACGTTCAGTGTACAAACCATTTTTTTGGCGCCTGCGGCGGGCTGCTTTTGCATTCCTTCCAGGTGGAGGTGGAGAGCCCGCGACCCACCCGCGACCTAAACCACGTTCACTGAACAAACCAATGCCGCACAAGCGCGGCGGCGGATTTTTGCATGCCGCCTGAGCCCGCAAGGACCTCTTCAAGCCCCGCGCATCCACACCAGCCCGTCCAGCAACTCTGCCCTGGCGAGTTGCCTTAATCAAAGAAGGCGGGGAGCATAAAGTGGAAAAAGGATTGCGTTGCAGTTATCTTGGGAAAGGAGGGGGAGGCAGGAGGAGTAAACAGGGGACGAGGAGAACGCGGAAGAAGAGAGGATGTAAGGAGAATGTGGAGAAAGAAAAGGAGGAGGAGCAGGAGGACGAGGAGGGGGAGGAGGGGGAGGAGGAGGACGAGGAGGGGGAGGAGGGGGAGGATGATGATGATGATGATGATGGACGACAATGGGAGGACGATGATGGAGGCCGATGAGGGGGAGGACGACAATGGGAGGACGATGATGAAAGGACGAGGGGGGGAGAGGGAGGACGAGGAAGAAGAGGAGGAGGAGGAGGACGAGGTGGAGGAGGAGGATGACGATGACGATGACGACGAGGACGAGGAAGAGGAGGAGATGGAGGAGGAGGAGGAGGAGGAGGAGGAGGAGGACAGCGCCATCGACAGGGAAGGTGGGGGCCACGAGGTCCGCCGGCTCGACGACGCCCGCGTCGCCCGCGCCCGCCCCCTCACTCTTATCCGGAATTGCGGGGTGCTACGTACACAGATGGTTTGCCCTATGAATGTCCTCTTGGCTTGGACCAGCTTGGAGGCTCCTTGGGCCTTTTTGAGATCCCGCCGTACATCTTGGAGGTATATGGGGCCAGCTTGGGGGCCATCATGGACCGTGTTGGAGGCATTTTGGATACCAGTTGTTTCAGTTTTCCAGTCATCCGCGTGGCCCGCGGCTCGGGCCGAGAGCCACCCAGCATCCCCCCCCCTTCCCGCCCAATGTCGAAACGCCGAGTTAAAACTATGTTCATGTCATTTTCTTCGTTCCCCTATGAGCGGCCGTCATCGGGCGTCGCCGATCTTGCGCAGCACACGAGCGCCTCCTCCGCCCGTGCTCTGGCGGGCTCTGCGGTGCCCCGCCGGCCCGCGGGGCAAGGCGGAGTGTGGAGCTGGAAGCGGGCCACCAGTGGCTGCGCGAAGCAGCGGGCTGGAGCGGGTCGCCCGAATCCAATGCCTTCCATTACCTCCTCTTCCTCCTCCTCCTCCTCCTCTCCCTCCTCTCTCCTCCTCATCCTCCCAAGCCCCTCTCATACCAACCTCCTGCGCACCAGCTTATCTGGTCCCGACCCGATCCTTCTGAGGTGCATGAACCTCAACCTGCCAGTCTCTGGCAACCGGGCACAGTTGGAGGATCGACTCAAGTTCAACATTTACGAATGCAAGAAGATGACGGTTAAACAGTTGAAGCAGGTGTGCATGACGATGGGTTGTCGAAGTGGAGCTAAACAGTTTATGATCGAGCAGCTCGAGCGACCCCCTCAGCATACCCTGATCCGTCGGTCGGGACTTGAGTGTGGATCTTTGCTCCCCTCCCCTCGTCCTCCTCCTTGTCTCTTCCTCCCCCTCGTTCTTCACACGGGCTCGCGCCTCCGCGCACGGAATTTTCGCGCCGTGGGAGGGAGGCGGAGACGGAGGAGCCGGAGAAGCTGGAGGAGGAGGAGAGGATGAGAAGCAGGAGGTCGGAGGGGTATGAGGACGAGCCCTCGCTGACAGCGGGTGACTGACAAGTCACCCATCGATAGATGGTCCAATTTCACTGGACCAACTGTGAATTTGAGATCGATAGAGTGTTCCACTTTCTGGGGCGAGATGGGCCTGTTCGACCAGTTTCAGATCTCTGCTTGGATCGGCGGATCCAAGTTCCTCCGCCTTCCTTCCTCTCCACCACGCCATCGGGGCTTCCAAGGGAGCTTCACGACACTCAATTTGATAACCTGACGCTGGACGAGCTGCGCGTCGAGTGCACCTTCCGCGGCCTGGATGCCGACGGGACGCATCCGCAGCTGAGGGCACGGGTCCAGGCCTACCTAAGCAAAGCTTGACGGAGTTGCTGACTTGCGGCACGTCCCAAATAGTTCACCACCCACTACCGCTCTGTCTCTCTCTCTCTCTCTCTCTCCTCTTTCTCTCTCTCTCTCTCTTTCTCTTTATCTCTCCCTCTCTTTTCTCTCTCACTGTGGATTCGCATGTTTACATTTATGCGTACAAGTTGAATTGTACGCACACACGCATGGGTATATATTTGTGTGTAATTATACACATATAAAGGTATAGACAAGACTGCATTGGCGCTTCGCGCCATGCACTTCGCTCCTTGCAAATATGGTATGCAAGCGCAATGGCAGGAATGTCGAGCCGACAAGTTAGCAATAGCTTCTTGCTACCTTGTTCTGGCATCGCCGTTATAACCAATGTATTCGTTTTTCCCCACATGCTTCGTGGGGTTCTGGTTTTCTTCCCTTCCGCGTCTCACCCGCGTCTCCTCCTTCTCCTCCCTCTCCTTTTCCTTCTTTCTCACACCTCCCTCTCCTTCTCTGCACAGGGCATGGCAGGCGTGGCAGTTTCTCGACACCAGAGGGGGTGCGCAGGGGGTGGTCCCTGAGCGCGGCGTCTATGCGGGCCATGGCGCAGGGCACGGCAGGCGTGGCAGTTTCTCGACACCAGAAGGGGGTGCGCAGGGGGTGGTCCCTGAGCGCGGCGTCTATGCGGGCCATGGCGCAGGGCACGGCAGGCGTGGCATTTTCTCGACCCCAGGCAGAGCGCGCAGAGGGTGGTCCCTGAGCGTGGCGTCTATGCGGGCCATGGCGCAGGGCACAGCGTGGCAGTTTCTCGACACCAGAGGGGGTGCGCAGGGGGTGGTCCCTGAGCGCGGCGTCTAGCCATGGCGCAGGGCACGGCAGGCGTGGCAGTTTCTCGACACCAGAGGGGGTGCGCAGGGGGTGGTCCCTGAGCGCGGCGTCTATGCGGGCCATGGCGCAGGGCACGGCAGGCGTGGCAGTTTCTCGACACCAGAGGGGGTGCGCAGGGGGTGGTCCCTGAGCGCGGCGTCTATGCGGGCCATGGCGCAGGGCACGGCAGGCGTGGCAGTTTCTCGACACCAGAGGGGGTGCGCAGGGGGTGGTCCTGAGCGCGGCGCGGCGTCTATGGCGGTGCGCATGGCGCAGGGCCACGGCAGGCGTGGCAGTTTCTCGACACCAGAGGGGGTGCGCAGGGGGTGGTCCCTGAGCGCGGCGTCTATGCGGGCCATGGCGCAGGGCACGGCAGGCGTGGCAGTTTCTCGACACCAGAGGGGGTGCGCAGGGGGTGGTCCCTGAGCGCGGCGTCTATGCGGGCCATGGCGCAGGGCACGGCAGGCGTGGCAGTTTCTCGACACCAGAGGGGGTGCGCAGGGGGTGGTCCCTGAGCGCGGCGTCTATGCGGGCCATGTCGCAGGGCACGGCAGGCGTGGCAGTTTCTCGACACCAGAGGGGGTGCTCAGGGGGTGATCCCTGAGCGCGGCGTCTATGCGGGCCATGTCGCAGGGCACGGCAGGCGTGGCATTTTCTCGACACCAGAGGGAGTGCGCAGGGGGTGGTCTCCTTTTGCGTGCCAGGGTCGTCCAGGCATAGCAGGCGTGGCATTTTCTCGACACCAGAGGGGGTGCGCAGAGGGTGGTCTCCCTATGCGTGCCAGGGTCGTCCAGGCATAGCAGGCGTGGCCTGTTCTCGACACCAGAGGGGGTGCGCAGGGGGTGGCCTCCCTATGCGTGCCAGGGTCGTCCAGGCATAGCAGGCGTGGCATTTTCTCGACACCAAAGGGGGTGCGCAGGGGGTGGCCTCCCTATGCGTGCCAGGGTCGTCCAGGCATAGCAGGCGTGGCACACAAGACATAAAATCAGTATGTGGGGTTCCTCGGTAGCGTAATCCTTCCTCCATGCTTCTTTTTTCCATTCTCGTTATACTTTGCGTATTCTTCCCATCCTCCTCAGCTCCTTTTACGGAGGATGCTCCTTGGAGAGCCGCTGGAGGCCTCGCAAAAGTTGTTCAGGCTTTCTTGAGGCCTTCTGGTGGCCTCCTGGCCGTGTTCTGGGGGCCCCTGGGGGCTTCCTTGGGTCGGCCACCCTGCCTCCAACCGCGGTCTCCCTGAACGACCAGGTTACGATTTGGATTGCTTCGGAAGGCGTCTTGGGGCCATCTTGGGCCGTCATGGGGCTCTTTTAGGCCATCTTGGAACTCTGTTGTGCCATCTTGGGGCTCTCTAGGACTGCCTGGAACACTTTCGGATGGTTGTGGGGAGATTTTCGAGCCTCCCAGGCGGCTTCGGACGCCCAGAAGACCGCCGTCTTGAAACGTCGGGAAGCCGAACAGAGTTCACCACAAACCGTTAGATTATCCCGGCAAAGCAACCTAACAGCGATGTGTAGGAGCATGTCTGGAAGCATTCCCCGTAAGATTCATATGAAAACCCAGTTGTAGAATTCTGTTGTTCTCGCTGTCGTAATCGCATTCGCGATGGCAGTCGCAGTGGCAACGGCAGTCGCAGTCACAGCCTCAGCCTCAGGCTGCATCAGCCTCAGCCTCAGCCTGCCTCAGCCTCAGCCTCAGCCTGCTTCAGCCTCAGCATCAGTCTGCCTTCAGCCTCGGCCTCAGCCTCAGCCTGCCTCAGCCTCATGAGCCTCAGCCTCAGCCTCAGCCTGCCTCAGCATCAGCCTGCCTCAGCCTCAGCCTCAGCCTGCCTCTGCCTCAGCCTCAGCCTGCTTCAGCCTCAGCCTCAGTCTGCCGTCGGCCTCGCGCCTCAGCCTGCCTCAGCCTCAGCCTGCATCAGCCTCAGCCTCAGCCTCAGCCGGCCTCAGCATCAGCCTGCCTCAGCCTCAGCCTCAGCCTCAGCCTCAGCCTCAGCCTGCTTCAGCCTCAGCCTCAGCCTCAGCCTCAGCCTGCCTCTCAGCCTCAGCCTGCCTCAGCCTCAGCCTCAGCCTGCCTCAGCCTCAGCCTCAGCCTCAGCCTGCTTCAGCCTCAGCCTCAGTCTGCCTGCAGCCTCAGCCTCAGCCTCAGCCTGCCGCAGCCTCAGCCTGCATCAGCCTCAGCCTCAGCCCCAGCCTGCCTCAGCCTCAGCCTGCCTCTGCCTCAGCCTCAGCCTGCCTCAGCCTCAGCCTCAGCCTGCTTCAGCCTCAGCCTCAGTCTGCCTGCAGCATCGGCCTCGCAAAGGTGTGCAGTAGGCGCTGCGCAGTTCCTTTGAAAGGAAATCTTCGAAAGCAGGGCTGTAGCCAAGAAGGCTACGGGGACGATGATGATGATGAAGATGATGAGTCTTGGAAGTCTGGGAAGTGGCCCGGGCATTCAAAATGTGGCCCGGGAATGGAGTTCTGGGAAGTCGAAGAGCACGAAGTGGCCTACAGTTGGCTCCGGGCACCCAAAATGTTGCCCGGGAATAAAGTTCTGGAAACTCGAAGACCACGAAGTGGCTTACAGTTGGCTCCGGGCATCCAAAATGTGGCCCGGGAATGGAGTTCTGGGAACGCGAAGAGCACGAAGTGGCCTACAGTTGGCTCCGGGCACCCAAAATGTAGCCCGGGAATGGAGTTCTGGGAACTCGAAGACCACGAAGTGGCTTACAGTTGGCTCTGGGCACCCAAAATGTGGCCCGGGAATGGAGTTCTAGCAGCGCCAAGAGCGATTTTGCGAGGATGTCCCATGCGATTTGGGCTTCGACGGCAGCCGCCCCGGGTCCCGCCCCGACCTCCCTGTGGAGTCATGATGCTTTCTTTTGACACCATTAGAAACCTATCAGTCTTTGCTGTTAGGTAAAAATCAATGAATTTTGCCTCTTGGAGCCTTCTTGGGAGTGATTTTGGAGACCACCTGGGACTTTTTGGAACGATCTTTTGTGGGCATGACGGCTTCTGTGGGGTCGTCGTGGACCGTCTTGGAGCTCTCTGGGGTCGTTTCGGGAGCGCGCCGGGACGCCTGGAGCCCTCTTCGGGCTCTCGTGGGATTCTCCCGGGTCGCCTGGAGGGTTGCCCGAGAGGCCCAGGGTGAGCCAAGGACGGGGCGGGGGGCGCTCATTCTGGGGTCAGGAGGGGGTTCGCTTTTTCCGGGATCCCCGGCCCTACACAAATATTGAATGATTTGGTGTATATATATATATATATATGGATACGTAGCACCCCTCAGTTGCGGATTAGAGTGAGGGGGCGGCGGGGACGTCTGCAGTCTGCGAGGCTCTGAAGAAGCCGGCGACAGGCGCAACATTTTCAAGCTATACAACGAGCCCGCCGCAGGCGCCGTTTTTGGTTGAAACAATTTAGGTGGGTCGCGGGTTGGGTCGCAAGTGGGTTGCGGGGGGGTCGACGGTGGGTCGCGGGTGGGTCGCGGGCCAGGTCGCGGGCCAGGTCGCGGGTGGTTCGCGGGTGTGTCGCGGATGGGTCGCGAGCGGGTCGTGGGGTGGGTCGCGGGGTGGGTCGCGGGTGGGTCGCGGGCCGGGTCGCGGGGGGGACGACGACAACAAACATCAACAACAGCAACACCAACGCAACAAGCATAATCCCCACCACGGATCCGCACTTAAGTCACACACCCAGGGACAATGATTGACCGCTCGGCCCCCTCACTCTGAATTATTTATGTATAAATCGATCATGAATACGAATGTGAGTCCAGCATGATGTTTCATATGCATGCTTGCAACTGGGTGCCCGAAATATGTATACATAGACCTAAATATAGACGTGTGTGTGTAAAATAGAGTACGCACCATGAGAACGTACGCCTTCTTCGTTGCCATTCAGTGTGCGTTCTTGTTTGTAGGTGTGTGCGCGACCGTAGCCCCGTCGGTTCAAGCCTCTCTGGCTCGAGTTTGGTCGGCGCGGCCCCTCCAGCCTGCGTGCCTGGAGCCGGGAAGGGGCCTGCTCCCTCCTGGCCTGGGGCTTTCGCCCGTCCGCAATGCCTCTGGCGAAAAACCCCGCTGCCCGCCGCCGCCGAGTGGCGCGTGCTGCGATGGCCCCCGGCTGGCGGCCGATGCTTCGTGCGCATCGCTTGCCGCCTGTCCGCCTGGGCCTGCTGCTGCGACCACGGCCCGACGGGCGCTGCTCGCGCCGCCGAAGCTGCCGACGCCCCTCGGGCGGTCGGCGCCGTGGGCGCGGCCGATGTGTCTGGTGCCGTGGGCGTTGTTGGCGCAGCCGACGCCTTTGGGCGGTCGGCGCAGCCTGCGCCG